TTGAACTTACATCCAACAGCCAGGTGTCCTGTGCTTTCCCAAAGAGGACAGACAAGGATTTTACCCTCTATTGTGCTACAAGAAAAGACTCCTCAATTGCCATGCTACCTCAAGCAGCATTTATTTTGACAGTTTTGTTCAAAGAATGAAAAACTTCCTTCTCTATAATAAAACAAATTGTGTGTGTGAGCACACCAAGTGTTCATTCTCCTTTTGTGTATTTGATAAAGGAAGACATCTTTTTTTTTTTTCTTTTTTTCAAGAGAACTTCCTTCTCATACAAGCCGACCGCATCTATATTTGTTTTGGGGGAGTTGCTTACTTTTCAGGACAGTGCCATCACAGAGAGCTGTGAAAGGAGGACATTATTCAAACCTCTCTGTCGCCTCTGTCTGTATCATTGTAGACAGCATGTCATGGCACTGTAACAGCATAGAAGAAAGACAAAATGTGTAAATATAGAGCGCTAATGAACCACCAGGAGCATATTTAAAGAGCCATACCTCTTGTAGAAGGGTAAATGGAGCACATATTTACTAACTGACAAAACCAACAGGGCTCCACTGACAGTGAGCAGTGAGTGGCTTTTTTTGCTTTGAATGCTTTGACAGTGTCACGGGTAGTTTTCCAGGAATATCAGCAGCAGAACTCCAAAGACAATGAAGTCAGACTTCCAGGTATTGTCAGTAAACGTATCGTAATACATACTGTATATGAGTATTGTCTGAGGATCTGTTTCTAAACATATCTAAGTGTTTTATGAAACATTCAGAGGCAGACAGGATGAAATAAGGATGTGACAGTTGGCTCTTTTAGTCCAGCGGTTTCTAAAACAAAGCAGTGTCCACCTGTGATCCCTCATCCCAGGCTATGGTCTTAATATAGACATATCATTTTAATGGATTTTTCTAGTGGTGTGGTGTGGGCTGTCACTCAGTCAGACCACCACTTTGTTCCAGACTGAAATGTCTCGACAACTGTTTGAGGAATTGCTGTGAAAATGTACAGGCATTCATGGTCCCCAGAGGATGAGTCCTATTGATTTTGGCACTTTTCCTCTAGAAACACCATGAGGTTTTTGATTTTGTGTGGCATGTCTTTTGTTTAGGCAAACAGTTTTTTTGTTTGTTTGTTTGTTTGTTTAGATAAATTGGTTAAGAGAGTGTTAGTGTTTGATTTTATTTTGGTGTAAATGGTTTGTTCACAGTGTACCCCACCTCTCGCCCAGTGTCAGCTGGGATTGGCTCCAGCCCTCCCGCGACCTTTTTCAGGTTAAGCAGTATAGATAATAGATGGATGGTTTGTTCACAGTTGCAGTAGTACTTTCCACCAAGTGGAAGATATACTGTAGCTGCCGTTAGAATTTCCCAGTTACTCAGATTTACGGAGTCAGAGGCTCACCTGAACATTGTGTTTCTGACGTAGCCGCTCATTGTTAAGGTCTGAATAAGATTGTGTGACTGCAGAATGAATTATACCAGCTAAATATCAGCATGTCATTGTCACTGTGAGCATATCGGGAATTTAACTTGGATCACCTCTGTGCAGAAATACAGTCTTACAGAGCTGCTTGTGTGGCTGTAGATTCTTGTTAGAGACCAGAACAGGGAAAAGGATCCAGTTCTTCACAAAAAAGCAAACATTTGAGAAGTTCTCCTCCCTTTAATCATCTGCTGGCCCCCTGATATGTCTTTGGACCTCCCCCTCTAGGGTGGTCCCAAGATACATCAGGGCATGTATTCTGGGACCACCCACTCTCACAGGGGGTCGGACCCGCAGGTTGGGATCCACTCCCTTAGTGGTCCGTAAATATATGGTTGTACATTATGAAATTAGTATGGATATACTTCACTGTACCTACTGACCTTTCAGACTTTGGACTCCACTGCTGATGAATCAGTTTCCAAACCAAAGACAGAGCATAACACTTTTATTGGGAAGTGTAAATATAGCAACGGTGCCAAATATTTACCCGGATGCATACTTTGACCCAATAACACTACAAGTACCTGACCCAAAGTGACAGCTCAGTATGACTAACTGTCATGTACTGCACCGGGCTGTCTCTGTCACCAATGTGTGGGCTGGAGACCGTGAGAGATTACAACAATGTCTCAAGGCCAGTACAGTTGAACACTCAGCTATATGCTCTTTAAACCAATATTGTTCTAAAGTCTACACAGGAGGATGGAAACTTTCCTCCACTTGAGGAATACCCTGCTGTAGAGCCAGCCCGGACCACACACTGAGCTCCCGGTGTTTTTCAAGCAGTGTAACAGCTATTACAGGTTTCTATGGGAGGAAGTCTCTCACATTCTGTGGCTTCACCTATAGTGAAATACCTTTTCTCCAGTTACCATCTCAAAGTGACTCATGAACTATTTGCATTTCACAACTGAGGGTAAGAGACTTCACAGAGATGATTATGGGGCAGTGTGCGTGCCTGAGAGGAGAACGACTTGTCTTGACGTCATTCCTGGATCAGAGTCCTGATGTGACACGAGAGGGTTTCCCTCTGTTGCTAGGCGCCAGGGTTCCGTGTGTGGATAAACACGAGATTCCTCGTGGCACACCTGTTAGAAACTGACGCTGCCACGCTGTCATACCACTACCTGTTGCTTCATCACACTGTTAAGTAACCATAGTTATTTTCCATTGCGACTAACCAACATAAGGTAGCTGCTATAAATTAGTGACAACTGCATGACATTGGCATGGCAACCAAACAATCACCTGAGGGAAAGGTAAAACTATGTGTTATATTTTGCTGTAGGCTTGAGAAGGCACATCTTGTTTAGTACTAGATCAAAGCTAATGGTGTGTAATGTTGTGGTTAATGCAAAAATCCCTGGGCTGCATTGATTTCTGTGAGCTGCCGTGATACTTTCCCACATCCAAACAACAATTATGATGATTTATACCTTTATTCAAAGAAATTGGAATTGTAAATGGAGAATCAAGTGTGAACTGCTGCATTTTTAATTAGCTTACAATCACAGTGCTTGTGTTTTCAGCCAAATATGCTAAAAATATATAGTATACACTAATATCTCCCTATGTTAATTTAATAATAGCAACTTAGCAACTAATTACTTTGCAGAAAAGGATTTTACAAAACATATAGCTAATGAGTTTATTATCTACAGTATGCAGCATAGCTAAAGATTAAAATAATTTAGGTAAAGCAGTTAAAATTAGCCCCATTTTAGCCAGCTACAAAAACAAAATAAAAATCAAATTCAGTAAACTACTACACATATTAAGGCATCAGTAAAGATAATGCAATAATGTATAACATTAAAAGGAGCCATTTCTATGCATAATGAACTGAACAAACAGGACAGTATGTACATTAATATTTCTAATGGAGGAATAACTTCAATAATGTGTATTTAAATGGGTGTACTGCATTGGCCCTTTAAATGTTTTTTTAGCTTCTTCATAGCCCTGTGAAATGACAGTATTAATATAAATGAGGAACTGAAGAAAGCCCTGTGGTTAAACTTAGTTAAGAGAGTAGATGTTTGAGTTAAATATTTGTGAGCGTAAGAGAGGATACTTATGTTTTACTACAACCAAGCCTTCAGTCTTACAACATGAGGTATATGTCCGGTCTCCCCTCTGACTCCTCAGAGGCTGAAACTGCTTCATAAATGCAACGCTTCTTATCATGTGCCAAGTACTATACTCACATGCTCTGCCAAGTATCACAGAGACTATTCCCAGTGAGGAGAGCACACATTAACCAGCTAGTGTGTTTGACCAACAGCTGTGCTGCAGGGGTTTTATGACTTAGTTATGTTAGTTATAATAGGTATGTGAAAATGTCTGTTTTGTAGAGAGATCCAGAAGCTAAGCCTCCCCAACCCCAGACAGTCAGAGGTTGATGTACAGTAGATGAGATAAACCTAATCTGGTCTGAGTAGGTGTTATTACCAGTCTCATACCTGTCATTCAGATCACTGCTAGATAGGACATGTATTTACATGCAAAGCTGCACGCTTAATATGGGCACTCAGAGTTTTGCAAGTTCCAAAGTCTGAATAAGAAAGTTGTCAAGTGTGACAATATCTGTGGATCTTTGTTTTCAAACACAGCAGGCATAAACCATGTTTTCTAAGTCATGCTGTCCCAAATATGAAAGGAAAATGCAAATCGCCTTTATGTAACATTTAAGATGTTGTCTCCAACATGTTTATGTACAAACAAACAGACGTCTATGGAAAAAAGATAAAACTGAAGCTAAAAGCAGAACTTCAGCAGCTTGCATGTTTTGCATACAAACGGGCTCACACTAATCTTAAACTTGATGACTATCATTAACACTGAAAGCTGAATAACAGCTTCAGTGCTTTTGCTCTTCAGGGAGTGAATTGTATTATATTCCCAGACTACACACAGCTGCTCTGTTGGTGTTTTGAGAAAAACAGGTGCTTCTAAGAATAAGACAGAATCAAGTGCAACATATCACAAGTAGTAAGTAAAAAGCGTGAAATGAACTCAGCTTTCAGTACCTGCTTAAAGTGATTCAAATGAATTAAGAGTATCACAGTCCCCTTACACGACAAACTTAACCAATGACCTCATGCAGGACCACTGCGGTCTGGCTTGCCATGAACAATAGCTAGTCTGTGTTAGTCCATCCCACGTTGCTCTCTAGCACGGCTGCGACCATTGACCACAGTTTGAGTCACATCCTTCCCACCTCTCCTGCATGTTTACAGAGAGCTGGCTCTCAGTTGTCTATTCTATGAGGCTGTAGTTATTAAGAATCGCACCGTTTGTAAAGACCTCCTGGACAGCATTGAAAGAACCATCCAGGGTTAGCTCCAACCGCAAGCCTCACACAGGAAACCCCCCTCCTCTGTGTCTCTGCAGAGTTTCCCCCGCGGTTCAGTTATTCCTCATTGCTCTGCTGGACAGGTGCCTTGTAGTTGACACTCTGACAGCCGACGACTGCGGTGACATCACATAAGAAATGACGCAAGCAGATGATGGAGCAGTTTTCTCTAAATAGACATTTAATGATTTAAAAGTGTGGTTTCAGGCAGGGAAAGGTGAACCAGGTGTCAGGGTGGAAGGGAGGGATTTTCAGTTGGTATTCTTACTGTGCAAACTGAAATCATCACATGTAGATTTTTTATGCAAAGCTGAATAATAGAGTCACACCGATGAATAAAAAGCTCAACAGCCAAACAGGAAGGCATTGCTCTGACATATTTCAGTGGCATCACATGAAGATGATAGTGCAAAATGAAAAAAGTATTTACCAATGTCAAACTAATAATACTGAAATGAAGGTAAAAAATATATACAGATAATCAACAAATACGAATTGTGGCAGAACAAAGCAGCTTCATATAAAAATGTCAAGCTCAGACTGGTGAATGTATTGTTGACCTGTGTGGAGGTGACTACAGTAACTTTAAATGAGAATTGTATCATCTGCTTTCAAACCATCTCACCCACTCTGATAGACTGTGTACAGCTCGGCACTGTTATTAGCTAGATGCAAACCAGTTTTCTTGGCCTCACTCACATTTGGAGCCTCCTGGTACTAAATCATAACTGCTCTTTTTTTTTTTTATCTTGCCTAACCCAAGGCCCCATCTAATATTTGCATTGATTAGAAATGAATACATCAACAAATACAAAATGAAAGGTAGATTCTGGCAGTCCTTTACACTTGTGACTGACACCTGCTATTGATAGCACATTAGCAGCTCGACTCCACCCTCTCTGATCTCCACCTGCTTACTGCCGGCTGATGTACTGCCTACTGGGTCCGGAGCTGGTAATCTGAAGAGGAAATGGACAAGACTTAATCAAATGGGCAAAGAAAACAGGGAATTGGAGAAAAAAAATCGAGTGGAGGCAGCTGATTCTTTCCACCCCGAAGAAATGGAATACAAAGGAAATGAGATGAGGATGTTTGGCAATTAGTGGCAACATTAGCAAAAAGACCAACATGTGCAACCTTGGTAATCTCAGCATGAAAATCGAGGAAGCTAGATAAAAAAATAAGTTCACTTTCTCACATTTGGCAGGACATTGCCTTATGTTCTATGATGAGAACTGCATCAGTACAATGTTAGTTCCCACCATATTGCAGCACATTGCCCAATTGTTGCCTAATGCCTACACATAAGGGCACTCTGTACAAGTATCAGTGAACTCTTAACCTACCTCCATTTTGGGTGATGTAGCGCACCCATGGCAAGGCCTGATATCCGCTCTTCTCAATGATCTTCAGGTACCGCACCTGTCAGGAGAAAACAAAAAACTATGTGAACATGATTGACAGAAGAAATGATTGACAGTATTTTGCTAGATATTAATAAGAAAGTACATTATATATAGCACTGGATCCTCCAACACATTTCTGACAGTGAGGTAAGATGCTGGATTCTTAGGCAGTAAGGAACAGTAAGTTGCTGGATGACATTATGTCAAGTCAAGTCAAGATTTTTATTTGCCATTTATGCATAAACAGACAGTCTAGGCATATAAGAATTCTTGTGCAGCTCTCCTTTGGAGTCAGGTAAGGAGTCAAAAGCCAGAAAGAATACTTAGTCTTAAAATAAAAAAGTTACATAAAGGTGACAAAGCATTAAAACTGCAATGCACAAAAATAGGGTAATAGCATTTCCCCCAGTGAACTTCAAACATCTCACTTAGTAATTCACATGGTGGAGTTGGATATGTCATTACGCTTGGCGAGGTAGTGAGGGGTTATAACATACTAAAACACAGTTTATATTCAGGCCTGTTTCCATTGCTTGGTAGAGAAGAGAAACAACCTGACTCCGAGTGAACTGCGACGACGCACCTCGAGGAGCGCCATCTTAGGGGTAGGGGAATTATGTGACTTTTTACATGGTATAATTTGCATAAAAGCATTTTTATCCGTAGTTTCAACTGTTTATCCTGCACAAGACTGCACAGGATCACATATATAAAACAAAAATATAGGCACAGTCATTTAATATGCAGGACTCTGGACTGTGGGAAGAAGTAGAACACCCAAAGGAAACCCATTAAAAATGCAAACACAAGCCAGCTGTGTCCAAACTTCACACTGCGTAGTATTTCTCTGCAGGGTTCAAATACTGTATTCACACCAAAGCTGACAAAATTAACTATATTAAGTATAGCTCACTTGCATGCATCCAAAAAACAACAGAACTGATTTGTGAGTGTACTGATGTACACAATTCTCCCAAAATGCAATGCAGCAGCTCCAAAAAAAAAAATCAGCAAACAAAAAATTATATTTTGCTGCTTTGCTCTTGTTTGTGATGTTTTTCAGTAGCACTCTAAAGTTGCAATTTCAACATGCATTCAACAGTGTACATAGCACCGCAGTTCTGCCAGAAGTAGCCTATTTAGAATTTATAGGTAAAGTAAGTGCATTACGCTGCAGGGATGGGCTGAGAAAAGTCTAGGAATGTTTTGATATAGAATTTTGCTGTAACTCTGGGCCACTGCTCGAGCCTGTTGAAGCTGACTGCAGTTGCTGTCTGCAAAACAGCAAGCGATAAACTTTTCCAAGCCACCTTACAACCTAGAGGCATCAGGTATTTCATTTTCCAAATATACATTTTCAGCAGAATACCCCTTTAAGCTTGTGGCGAGCTGATAGTAAACGTAGTGTTGTTGATGAGGAAGCAGTAGTATGAGTCACACTGAGAAGAAGGAAGCAGCTACAGAACAGCTTTCAAGGGACACACAAGGTTAATTTACATAGCTGTATTTTTCAAAGCCTGGGGGGAGAAAATGCACATCAGCATAATCAAGATACAACTTTCACAAGCTATTAACTGATATTTCACCAGCCCAGTGTTACCACAGAGCTGAATTTCGAGAAGAGACACTAAAAATACCCTGGCATCCTGACCATCACCGAACATGATTGCACACTGTTTTTACCCTGGCTCGTGAGCAAACTGTTACAGAAACTTGTGCCGCATAACAAAATTATTTGAATCATAATTTCTATCACAATTTAACAGCACTGACACTGAGCATTACATCTCTGTGTAGGTCATTTCATCGTGGTATCTGTCACTGCACTGTAAAAAAATAATTACTGGCACATCTATCATGCTTCAGTGTTTCTGCAGAAATAACTTTCACACAAATGTTTCAATTTAAAAGAAAAGCTGATGTGTCTGACATGCACTCTCTTAACTAGTGAAAATGAGAACGCAGCCATTTTAAGGCTGACATGACCCCTTTCTAGGAGACGTCGCTGTGCCATGTCTCCACCGTGCCAGTTCCCAGCTGAAAGCGGGACAGACAGTGCAGGAATTTGTGGGTCGAGTGGCAGTGAGGCATCGACGCTGGCTGCCTTGTTATTACCTTCCACTACACAGTGAGGTCAGAGCAAGAGCGCGCTGTGGCCACCAGACACATGATGACAAACACATAAGACACAGGATCACCAAGTCTGCCGGCGCAGCACTTCTCCCTGAACCCAGGAGCCAAACATGCAGTCGGCCTGACCGTGAGCACGTAGTCAGCAAAAGGGCATCAAAAGCCAGCCTCCGCAAAATATCATTATGGTTTGTAAGATGAGAACGGGAAAGTAGGATGTTTGTTGTATCTCGTTTGGTAAGTACAGACTACATGTGTGGGCTGGATTTATCAGGCTTTTGGAAGAAGTTATGGCCCAAAAAGCATCTGCCAGCTTGTTTGGGTTCTCTCAACATCCATTTGAAAATGTAACTACAGCTCTGCTCTATTGCCACTTGCCCAGTGCTGGGTTACTCGATTTACAGTTAAAATTTTAAGGTGCAGTTACGTGCATTATACACATTTCACATATGTGTTCCCCTACACTTTGGTGGTAGAGTTAAGAGCAACTTTCTCATGCTTCAATATTTACGTCTCATTAAACTGCACAGCCTCTCACACGTACAAAACCACACTACAGGCTGTATTTGAGTTAGAGATCTACTCTGCTGTTACCCTGCAAGACACAGTACAGTTACAGGCTTGATGCAAGAGTTTGACGGGAAAATGGCTCTTAATAGACTGCCAGTCCCTTTTGGAACAGTTAAAGAGGACCACTTTCTGTTAGTAGACTGACAGCTGAAGTGTAAGACCTTTAACAATTTTCTTTTAACTATCAGGACTAGGGCTCATGTTTAGGGCCTTCCATGGTCTTCTCAAATGTTAGAGCACATGTGCTGTCTATCGTTCAGTTGAAGTACAGTATGCTAAAACCAAAAAACCCCTTTGGTGCAATGTGGATTTCAGAGCCTGATCTTTTCATGCTTCCAGGAAGTTACAAAGTTAGCAGAAAATGTTCTTGACATTTCACATGTTCACGGTGGAGTTTCATAGGTGATACTACTAATACTAGTAAAAGCAACATGTAGGTTGTAGACATCGACCACCTCACTCTGATTCCTGGGGGCAGTAACACTTTTGCCCAGAGGGCCATCCAAATTGAAGTTAACAGGAAATACACAGTTGCCTTGTGTGTTAATACAAATCAACAATGGTTTGTAGAAAACCACAAAAAGAGGATCCATCACTAAAACTGATAAGCTACTGCTCCAAAACGGAGATAAGCCAGTCCGATGTCGAGCTACAAAGATTACACGGGATATTATACGACTTAAAATGTTATACAGTATGTAAAATGTGCACTTTGAGTTTCAAGATTCGCTCTAGTCAGTTATAAGAAACTTTATTTCACTTTATGAGGGAAAATGTATCAAGAATGAATGAAAGTGTACTTTTCTTGTATCATTAATGGATAGTGTAAAAGTGGCTTATAACAGAAAAAAACAAAGCATCCGTAGTCCCTTCTGGCACTCAATTTTAATAACATTCAAAGTAAAAGCCACTTTTAAAATTACAATTCTCAATAAAGGATGTTAGTTTTCAACACAGGATTAGGTTGTATCTGAATATGCAAAGCGACTGCACGCCTCCCTTCGTCTCTGCACTTAAAGAACTTGCTTTTATTTGACCATCTGTTCATTTATGGATTGGCACAAATTTATAAGGAAGGAAGAAAAATGACTATTTCTTCCAACTGCCAAATTACCATGGAAAATGGCAAGCATTCTTACACTGCCATACCCACCCCAATTACAAGTATCATATATTTCAATTCAATTTGGTTTGAGCGCCTTATTTCTGAGTGGGCTGCATGACGTCCATACAACTTAATAATGCTTTATTGACTATCACAGGAAATGTAGAAAAGCTGGAAAAAATTACCTCTTTAACAAGATTCATACAAAAGCCAGAATGAAAAGTAAAGAAGTAAACAGTCTGTTGGAAAGAGAGTCAGGCTTCCATCGGTTCCAAAGAGTCAGCTGTACATTGATCGAAGGGCTTATTTTAATAGCTGATTGCTATTAAAGCAAGTTTTGAAATAAGATGTTTATGTATATGCAATCTGAATATTTAAACCGTTGCTGGTGAAGAGGTTGACAGTGTCTATTGATGTGCAAGTTGAGAATTAAAATACTTTCAAAATGATCCATCATGTTAAAGTTTGTTTTCAGAAACAGTCTTCTTTTTAATTCAGGGTGATTATCTGGTGCCACGTTCTCAGAAATCCAGCTTTTAGATGAAGACACTAGTATTTTACAACTTCTGGTTTAAATATCACTTGATCTCTGAGAATATGTTGATTGCTATAGATAAAAAAGCACAATGTCACACGAGGCTTGGTTAATGTGCAACTGAGGTGTAATTATGTAAATGTACCAGTTTTTTACTTTAGGGTAATATTTTCAAATGTTGTTTGTTAAGCTGCCAGTGTCTCATCACATGAAGACATGGGAACATTTAATTTTGTGTTACTGTTGTGCAACTATCATCACACAACAACTGTGATCTTACAGTGTGTAACTGTGGTCAGCAAGAGGTCATTTAAACATGCAGGAAAAACATTAGCTTCTTTCTCAACTTCATGTGAATCACAATCAAAATCCAGTAAATCTACTCACCTGTAACTAAGAATGACATTTTCTATCACTGTGATTAAGATGAGGGCAGAGAGCCAAGTTCAAGTTGATGAGCAGTTGCTTTCTGGTTTGTTCGACAATAGACATTTTCTCTACCACAAAATGAATCTCAGTCTAACATAGAGTGCTGCCCTACTGCCCCCTCTGGCCCACAATGGGACAAATATGAATTGTTTAAATTCCTGCTTTGAAGAGAGAGGACATATTAGAGACTATGTGCCATAAATTCTAAATCCAGGATCAAAGAGAAATGACTGAGAACTGCAGGCTATTTGGACGATGCGTGCATGATGATAATCAACCAGCACATGCAAAGAAACTGCAGCATTTGTTTGAGACTGCTCCCAGATGGTTTATGAAATAGGAATGATAAACACAGTTTGACCTACTGTAGAGAGGATAAATACAATATTCTTCAACTCCTCTTATCTCTCTATAATAAAGTTTCATCTTACTTTAGCTGTGCTCATGCATTGCTGCACGTAGCAACAACACATAAAAATTACTTGTGGAATGACATGTAAATACTGTTTGACAGAGTCAGTTGAGTGTGTGCGTGTGTGCAGGATGTACCTGGATGCCTGAGGTGGTGAAGTATGGGATCTCAAACTTGACACTGATTGGTGGCTTTCCCTCTTTGTCTTCAGCCTCAACACTCGGCAAACCAAAGTGGGCTCGCATCAGATACTCTTTTCCACCCTGTGACAAGTTAGGACACAAACTCTTTAATACAAAACCAAAACTCTGGAAAAAATGAATGTGTTTTAACTATTAAAGGAGCAACATGATATCCTAAGAATCACTGTCCCCAGCAGCTACTTATACTAATAATGCCATCAAGTAGGATAAATGCAGAAACTACACTTTTTATCCACGTGAAGAAAATAAAACGAAACCCAAACATAAGATAACACAGTACTTTGTAGCCAATAGTATAATACTCCTGAGTCACGCTTTCTACTCACAGGGAAGGACTTGATTGACCAGACAATCTCGCTGTTCTCAGGCACCCACTTCACGCTGCCCACTGTGGTTTTGAATTTGGGTGAGTCAGCATCCGTTGGCACTGGAATGTGGATCTCCACGTTGTTGGCAGTGGAACGCCTTTTGAACTGACTCTTTGCCTGAGACGAGAAAGACGTAGGTCAAGTCGAACACTGTCCTGCCCAAACACGGTATTTAACCAGAGCTTAATGATTGTTTTCTATTGTATAGTACATTTAGTACTGTATGTGGATTGTTTAGTATTGTATAGTCAGGTTAGCCACGTATGATGAAATAATATAAACATATCATAGTGTCTTTGACAATCACAGTGTATTTTGCTGTGACTGTGAACATAGTCCAAACTGCATCACAGGAGCTCATCTACTTTCGTTTTACAGTAACTTTGAGACCCAGAAACAACAGCAATGCTGCCAGATGACATGGCAACCGATGTACCAGCTAAAAGTGACCTACCTTGATCATGTACTCAATCCGACTGTGGGAGTGTTTCTCAATAACAGATTCAATCCAGATCAAAGGCTTCACCTAAAATATCCAACAAATATTTCACTTGTAAGCAAATTCCTTTAAGTCAGCTTTTCATTACTTTTAACAAGCATGCCAGTTTAAATAACATATGACAGTCTCCACCTACTGGATAGCTGTTATTACTACAACAAAAACTAACAGGTGGTTTTTAATAAAAGGACCAAGTTTCCAACAAAACAAAGTGGTAGTCATCCTATAGTCATATTCACATTCACATGTGGAATCACACAATCACAATTTTGTCAATGAAATCTAGAGAAAATCATAGGCTATGCAAATCCTAGGGGCCAATTGACACAGTGTAATTATGTAGATTGTTTATTGATGTTTCCAAATAAAAAAACAATATAAGCCAACTAATATGATTTTTTAGGACATTACCAATATCAATATTAGGGAGTTTTTTTCATCCAATAACATTACATCAGCCCATCAGCCAATAACATTACAAGGCAATATATGGTAACAAAAGCAACAACCTTGATCCCTTATATTTGTTTGTTTCTTTAATTTGTGACCAGGATATAAACTGAGTAGAACATTTTACAGCTGAAAAATCAACTTGTCAGTTCTCTGGTGGACAAACTACTTTCTCTTGTGCAGTTTCTTGTTACTTACCCTCCTACATTTACAAAGATATATCTGCAACAAGCTAATTTTGGTCTGGCTCACCATTTGGCTCACTTGCTATGTTGGTAAAGTAACCAGTCAAATAGATTTATATTGTCCAACAATACTCCTACAAAACTAAACTAAAATAAATTGAAAGTACGAGGTCATTTGTTATCTTCCAAGTCTTCCTAATTTTACCTCATGTTTATAGCCCAGCACTACATGTGTAAATGAGGTCAGATGTTTTTTGGGTCACCATTTTCAGATGTCAGTAGCTACTACTACTTCCTTCCTACACACTTACTAGCAGCCTTATTGTGAAACTATTGAGAGACTGAGCCCAGTTTAAGCTTTCTTAACCCAAAGTGCTTGCAGCTTCCAACATTATTCATTATACTATACTGTATTTTCCACTTCCTTTCATGACTGTCCCTTTTGGTATATTAAATCCTCTTTGACCATCACTGACTAATGGTATAATCGCAAGAGCAGTTTGATCACAAATGACGGCAGCAGTATAGTTCAACATTTTCCTCAATGTCATTACAATATTTGTGTCAAATGTTGTTCTGAGTCAAGACTCTGGGACTTTTTCTTTTTACAGTAAAAGGTTTTTAAAAATGCTATATATAGTTCTCCTTCTCACACTCTCTACCTGCCAGATTTCATTTCATCTGTTTTTAAGTGAGGCAGCTTTTAATTGTAACGCATTGCATTTTCCGCCTTATCATTTACCTGTAAAGCAGCTTGAACTGCATAAACCTGTGTGAAAGGTGCTATATAAATAAAGCACCATTTAGTTTGATTAGCTGCACAACAGCCACTCTTTTCTGAAGTCCACATGGATAAAGATACCCATTATGATATTTATGTGAGACATAGTAGAATAGCTCATTTTTATAAAGGGCTTCGGGTCTTCTTTAAACTAAATTAGCCACCTGTATGTCCTTAAATTACACTTGACTGTATGGACTGTGTTTCTACAACAGGAGTTAAAAAAGCTCTAAGAACTTGGTGTTTGGAAGGTATCTCAGACTATTTCATACCCTTCCTGTGCACTGGGGTTAGTTCCTTTTTATTTTGTTGTATGTTGTGAGGTGTTTTGAACCCACAGTACTCACGTGAGTATTGAGGCGGTAGGACATGAGCTCAAACTCTCCGTCAGGAGGGATGAAGGAGATGGTGCGGTCATTCTCAAAGCGTGACAGACGGACACACTGGTGAAACTTCACATCCTCCAACTCTACTGATTTACTCTTCCCTCCTACATGAAAGAACAACAGATCATTTTAAAAGAAGACAAACACAAGAACACTGTACCTGCACCATTTAGAAATAAGGCCTAATTCAAACTGCATTTAGAAAGAACTTTTTCCAGTAAGTATGAGGCAACAGGTGGATGTAATATATAACTCAGGACAATACAATGCATGTCAGGAAGAATCATCTAACTGTCACTCTTGCATATTTTTAAAGGGCTAATTTATCATCATCAAAATTTCCAGCAGGCAGCTCCTTGGCCAACTCCAATCATTTGACCAGCACAACTGGTCTATTATAAGTGTGAGAACTCACGTCCAGTGTTTTCAAACAGAACCTTGTCGTTAAGGCCCAACCGCAACTCTGGCATTCCAGACAGGAACACACGCATCTTAATGGAGCCAACGATCTCACTACGTAGGACATTACCATTGGCACTAACCTAAAAAAACAGAGGGATTAAACATGTCACAGAGAAACAAATCAAAGTGTTAGCAACTTAAAGAAACCACAGCACGGGAAATATACAGTAGCAAGATCAGCTGGCTTGACAACCTTGTGACGCACACAGCAAGGAAGTTTACAAACACTGTGACTGCCATTCCTTAAGCAACACAGCACTTCTAAAACAAGGAGTTCCTACCAGGAGGTTGACTGACTCAATGACGTCCAGGAAGACCTCATTCTTCCTGTACTTGATGCCCTCTGACCTCCAGGAGACAGCATTGGTGACTGTAGCAGGGGGTCGCGGGGCACCAGTGTCTAGCTTGTGCCCCTCCTGGGTTATGTATCTGAGAAACAAAAATATAAACACTAGGGCAACACTGAAAAGAGGGGTAATCACCTGTTCGCAGCTGTATGTTCCCAGAAATCAAAGAAGAACAGAAACTGTATGGTTTAAGGGAGTACTGTCTGACTTATTGCTGTACTCAGAGAACATTGGGGGAAATCCAGAGTTGGTATGCTGCATGTCTGTGTCAACTATAGACCTACAAGTCAATTCTAGTTGTTTTTGGTGAGGAAAGGAAGCTCCTCTTGACTTGCAGATATAGTGAAATGATGAGGCAATACCACAAAGCGATCTGTAAAACTGATTTAACTGCTACACAACAATCAAGGTATAAAAGCACCAGTTACAACGCTTATTGCCAATGGCAATTCTGATAACTGAGTTGATTATCAGGCAAAAATATCAAACACGTTGAATAACGCTTCACATCATTAACAAAAAAAATTTGGATTTTTGATTGCTACTCGGACAAGAAAAACTGTGAAGACATCACTCTGGATTCTGGGAAAGACTGATCATATTTTCTGGTCATTTTATAGACCAAATATCCATCCATTCTTTTGCTATACCGCTTATCCTGTGAATGGTCGTGGGTGGGTCGGCACTGAGTGAGAGGTGGGGCACACCATGGGCAGGTCACCAGCCTATCACTGGACTGACATAGAGATAGACAAACATTCACACTCACATTCACAACTGTGGACAATTCAGAGTCACCAGTTAACCTAACCTGCACATCTTTGGGGTGGGCTTCCTTCAGGGGACCCAGAAACAAACCCATCACAGAAAGGCCCCAGTTGGATGAAACTGACAATACTCATTAGGTGCATCTCTGTTGAATCTACATGAAGTTAACTACAGTGAGACTGTGGTGAAGGGGATACTCACTCTTGCAGAATCTTGCTGTCAGTGGTCTGAGGATAGCCAAAGTCCATCAGCTCATCCATCAGCTCATATATGATGACAAAGTTATCTCTAATGCTCTCTTCCTCCAGTTCTTTAAAATACTCTGAAAAAACCTGAAGGACAAATGCTGCTTTATAATCCTGTTTGTCATCAATATAAATATATGGCTTTGTTAGTGTTATTTATTTACTAAAACCACTATAGGCCAGAGCAGGTAAAGCATTCAATCCTACCTGAACAATTTTGTACAAGAAGGAGAAGACCAGTGAGACACTAGCATTTTTCTTGGACGTTGCAACCACTGATGTAATGTGTGTTAAGAATTCTAGGTACAAGAGAAGGAAATCCAAGCAGCACAAAAAATATAACACCAAACGGAGAATAATAAGGATACAGTAGAGGTTATTGTGTTTGATCCACATGAAACGGACCCCCCCATGGGCCAGGATCGGAGACAGCGTCCCCTCCTCCTCTTTGTCCATCAACAGGGTCATAAAGTGCTCAATCTCAGACATGTCCACATCTCCTCGGTAATTTCGGCACACCAGGACCTTTATGAAGCAGAATCATTGTTACTGAAAGTTAGTAAGAGCTGCAGTACTGTTGATAGTGATGATAACCTGAGTACTGTCATCCATGTATACATGTAGTAATGTGCTAAATGGTCTTATGGTAAACATGTTAGCTGTCTGCACTGTATGGGGTAATGCTACCAATATGTGTTCATTTATACTTTGGATCTTAATCTTTAACACATGAACAAAGAAGACTTTAAATGGGAAGTGCACAATTTAAATTATGGCCTGAATAAACACAAGTATTACATGTGACGTTTTATAGTTAAAGAGTCTACTCTTAAATTCGGTAACAGCTGTTATATTTATGATGCACTTGTCATTTAACTGTTTTAATCCACTAACTTAAAACAGAATAACAAGAAATAAACCATAGATGCTGATGGATGCCTGTTGAATTTTATGCACATGGATGAATAACTTTTACGCCAAATTTACTAAAAGACGCCTACGATTGAAAATAGATTGCAGCTATATAATACAGTTAAGACAATGTGTTGCATATAAATAAGAATACGTGTAAAGGAAGAATTTTGAAGGGAGTTTTGGCATTCACATTCCCTGCTACTGACAGCTGGTCATTTGTCTATCGTGTCGTTGCCGTTTTTTAATTTCGTGGCCTTTTCGGTGTATGTGTGTGTGTTTTTTTGTTTGTTTTTACTTTTACCCTTCATGTGAAACCGTCCTCCTTGATTAGGTGCAATTCACAAGCCATAACAATGACAGGGCATATCAACTATACCGACATATTAGCGACCTTGCTGCTGCCACATAATCTGTCAAAAAAGAATGCGTAAACTAGGCTGCTAGCTAATTGGAAACCGTTAGCTTAGCAATGTAGCAGTTCCGTTATCCTACCTTTCCTTTTAAATCCAAAACATACACCGCACTCGCAGACATCGTGGACTAATATATACGAGCTTAGTGCAGCTCGTTTTCAGCACCTGTTCAGTAATGTTTGACAACAATTACTACAGATCCAAATTCAAAGAACAGACTTTCATTCATAATACTGAAAAGAGAAATGTGACGCTTCCCGTTTTGTTACACCGAGCAGCCATCGAGCGAGCGCCCTCTATTGAAGTGGAGGAACTGGTGCAGGAGAAAGGCAAGTTGTTTTTCTTCATAGTGTTATACCCCATTTCTTTTACTGGACAGATCTGAGTAAGGAAGGAGTCCGTCTTTCTTGATTTTAGTGCTGGTTTATTTACAAAATATATTTTTGTAAATAAACCAGCACAGCACTAAAATCAAGAAAGACGGATATATACATATACATATACATATACATATATATATAATTTTTTGTAAAGGATTACAGAACACAACCCAGGGCTCCCCGTCTTCAGACAAGCTGCTGGAGAGGAGAGCAGGAAAAAGCACACGGAAACACAAAGCCTAATATATTTATCAGTTTTGGGCTAGCCCCTTACACAGATGAAGTCCGTCCAGCAGACTCCATCTCTTATCTAGAGCTCCACATACTTGGAGCAGCTGCGTATTACCTAGTCATAACAAAATGAAGAACTCCATGTGTGTGTATGTTGTATGCGTGATGTGTAACTAAAACATTCATTCAGACATAATTCTTACACATGATTAAAACAAGAAAACAATTGGTGTCATGGCCTACTGCTAACCTTGAAACAGAGCAGACTAGAGCAGACTTTGAATCTTACTAAACTACATTACTAACACATTAAAGTCTAATAATTATCTGACTGATTTATTAATTTCTAACAATAGAAATGCATGGAATGAATATAAATGGTTGTAGAAAATGGCTGTCAATTTCACATTATAGGATGTAAATCAGCTATGTCAGCATAAAAACTTCTAGAGGATTTACTGTCAAATAAAAGAAACACTTGAGCATAATGTCACACATGGATCCATGCTTAAAGCATCACATGCAAAGATAAAGTGTTTTATTACCTTTAAAATGGCTGTGGTAGAATAACTCATCATGTTCCCTGAAGCACTACAGACCTACTTGCTGAGGAGGTTTAAATGATAATCCTGGCAAAAAAGGCATTGATGACAGTATGCTGGATGTTAGATGCAATCTCATATAATGACTGTGTTAATTTTGCTGCTTTAAATCACATTACTTGTTGTTGCTTATGTCATGTAAATATTCCTGATAGAAACTGTCATGTTGTAGACTTACCTCATTTCTGCTGACATGACGTAAGATTCTTCATGGACTTTAAATTTCTATATTCAGTGTCACATTTATAATACTGCTACTGAAAGAAATAGTAACATTCTCAAGTACTTTGTTACTGAGTTGTGTTAATCAGCTTTTTTCTGTCATCAAATTGGTTTTTATCCTGTAGCCTCCCCTACTGGAGGAGTGGGTGATCTGCACTAGATAAGGGTTTTAGGTAAAACTGTTCATTTTATACATAATGATCACCACAAGATAGCGCTGTTTTCATGTTTGACAGTTGAAAAGGCAAATGCAACCCCCCGTGGGCCTGGTGTCTAGAATATCACACTCTGATGTTTCTGAATCAAGCTACACTAAACAACAGTAAGTGTATCAGTGTACCCTTATTTGGTTTTTACAGTCTTATTCCAAAACCATGGGCTTTCCTTAAGCTTTTGTGAGGCCAGGCACTAATGCTAGGTGATAACACCTGGCTTGCAACTGGTGTCCCAGTTCATCTCAAAAGTGTCTAGATGGGTTGAGATCATAGCTCTCTCTGTGCAGGCCAGTCAGGGTCTTTCACACCAAACTGGCAAAGCCACTAAGGGCCTAGCTAAAATCATGAAAACAGGTGTAGGCCAAAGAGGCATAAACCATGTGTCAAAAAGGTTGTGGACTGTCTGACTGTCTTCCCATCTTGAGGAACTAGTAAGCTGTGTTTACAGTCTTTTTTATAAGCCTAAGAAAACCGACTGCTCATTATACATTTCCACTGTATCGGTCCATAGTGAGACTTCACTGAAGTAGAACCTTTCATCCACATTACTTGAAACCGTGCAACTCTTCACTGTCATAAATGCTGCTGTGGCCCTGACTCTAGTAACTCTATACTGAACCCTAATGCAGTGCATCATCCTACCCATCCTACCGATTATAAATCCTCATGTGCTAATCTTAAATGGCAGCCAAGCAACAAATCAGAGATGAAAAGACAACTGAAACCCAAGTAACGGTACTGCTGCTTTACATATCTATAAATACACCACTTATTAATATGTCAGTGTATGATAATCCACAAAGCTACTGGGGCAATTATTGAGTCAGTGCGAGCTTAGCATTAAAATAACTGAGGTCTAAAAGCCTCGTCAAGCACACCAACCCCAACAGCAGGTCCTTTACCCCTCAGAGACAGGGATGTGAAAGGATGAAGGGTACTGAGCATGTGATGGGTGAATGTAAAGGTTAAGTATAAAGGTCATTGGAGTGGGGATGGTAAAGATGTGTTTTACAAATAAAAACCGATGACCATTTTAGTTTGCTTTCTCAGAGAACGCCATCCCCATCGAGTGTGAAAATCCTTTCAGCACTGGGCTTGTGCATGACAACTGTGCCTCATCGACATGACAGACCTCTGATCCTTTGGCTCTTAAGATGGAGTCTAGACATTGTCAGAAGTCATAGATACAACTGGGCTGAGTTACAGAGCCAAATATAACAGGTTACCACTTCCCTCAGCAACTCCACACTCGATATGCAGTGTCTGTCTGTGGAACTGTAGCTGTGGAACACTGGATGCAGTTGTGTCGTTTGTGCAGAAGCCACAGAGCTGACCAGTGCTGATGTGTTTGCTTTGGTTGACAAATGAGCTCGTCTCAGTGCACTATGAGTCAGTGCATCACACAGGTGTTAGATACTTGATTAGTGACATGTGCAGCAAACTTTTGGATGTCCATTACTGTCTCCCTAGAGGCTGTTTCTGTGAGTAAAACAGACACACCTGCTCTATCATTAGTTTGAAAACTGTAATAGCAGAGCCCACATATCCATTGCATGACATCGAACACTTCAGACTACTAAAACTGTACTAGTTTGTATTCTTCGTGGAAGTATACATACACTCTAATCTGTTCCACCATTCCCATGACTCTGTGATTTATACTTAGCAGGACTTTGACTCTATTCCCAAGGCGATCCTGTGGCTTTTGGGGGAGTTTTTACCATACAAGGAGAAGAGGAGTTTAGCTCAGTTTCCTGTGGGAGGTTTCTAATTTCTCTCTCTCTGAATCTCATTCACTCTTTCTCTGTTTGTCTCTCCCTTACCTTCTCTGTCATTCTCTCTATTCTCCTCTCCTGGGTCTGCTCCAAACCTCCTTTCTGTTCACTATACAACCTGAAGATTCTTTCGATAACGCATTTCTAAAAGCAGTGTGTTGCATTAAATTGTCAGAATTGTTTCTAAGCAATTTGTTATGGCACTGTGTGCAGCCAGGCCCCCCCGACAGACCAAATAAGGCACACAGTCATCTGTCTTATCTTTGCAGGTTATGATGTAAGCTTGTGTTAATCCCAGGATTTCAAAGCTGTTAACCTTCCACAGCTTTCATAAACCTGAGCTAGAAAAGACTGCAGTTTCTGTCTCTTGTTGAAGAGAGTTTAATTAGAGTATAAATTGCTCTTTTACTTTCAAAGAATTAGATAAAAATCTGTAAATGAAATGATTTTCAGTTTGGTGATTTTGTGAACACCAAACTCAAAACACAAATACAAGGTGAGATATAGTTGTTGTTTTTTTTTTCAGGGATTCACAATATTTATACTTCACACAGTATAAGACAAACTTTTTTACACAACTATTAATGTAATATGCCCTCACACCTAATGGTATCTGTCAATTTCTAGGAGAAGGAGTTGATTTGACTGTCGTGACTCCACTGTGTAAACCAGCCATCTCCCAGCCCTTTAAGAGAAATAGTCCTGTTTCTGGCATATTTAGATAATCTATTGTGTTTTAAATGATTTGTTTAGCTTAAACAGAAGGAATATTTTCTCAAGACACAAAATAGGTCTTGATCCTTCAGTTTACCTGGAAAATTCGCATGATTGCTATCAACAGTTTTCATCAGACCATGAGATCCATAGTTTTCACTGAAACACCAGCAACCTTCTCCTCAGACTCAAAGTACCTGCAGAAAACAGTGCCCTCTGTGCCAAAGTACACCCGTGACATTTCTGTATAAGGAAGAACAACAACCAAAGCGAACATCAGTGCAACACAAAAAGCAAGATAACTTTGCCCAAGTTTATTTTCAAATGTCACCGGCCTCGTTGTTCTTTGACTTTTCTTGCAACCTTTAATTTTAGCCGCGGCAGCTGGCACAGACAAGCTGAAAGAAAGCAAACAGTTCGAATACTACCGATGTCACGAGCATGCACACAGTTTCAGGTTTTACCGTGTGATTTTCTTTTTTTTTAATTGTCCATAGTTTTTTTAAAACTTGCAAGTAAATGCAAATGTACTATATAAATGAGCCTGGGGTTTTCTGACAGTCTTCTAAAACAATATTCTTGGAATTTATCACAGTAAAACAAGTTGTATGCCCTAGTTAACAATGCTTCTTATATTGTGTGCCTCACAGAAACAGATTTAAAAGAAGGCCTGTCAAACCAATAGTAATTTTGATAATTATAATTGCAGTAGACCTGTGGTTATGTCTGTGTAGTGTGCCTGTAAAGCTCCAGCAGCCTGGTGTAGATCTCATGCAGACAGCTCTTTCCCCCCAGTTTATTTTGGCTGGATTGTTTTTCATATAGCCATTTTTCATTCTGCGCTAAAATGAAAACTATTTCCTTTCTAACCAACTCTGGTATTAAAATCAATTTAAACATTCCTAGGTAAGAACACAGGCATACTGTATACATAGGCAGCCCAAAGAGGAAAAATGAACATTCAGTAACTGATATTACTAATGTGAACAAGGTCTGGGTTCTGGCTCATGTCCAGCACAAAAGGTCCATGATCCAAATAAGGAGATAGGCTGGATATTACTAAAAAATACACCACGATGTTGCTCCAGAAGCTTTTGAGAGGTGAAGTTTAGATTACAGAGGGGGGCACAGTACGTTCCTGAGGAGTTACGGAGGGGAGTGGCTGAAGGAGGTGAACGGTGGGAAAGGGCTGTCACTAGGGACTGGTGCTGTCTCCAAACCTCCAGTCAAGTTTAAATCCCACAGAGCTCTGATTCTCAGTTTGCATCCTCTCCTGTGCTTGCTCGCTCTGAGCTCCCCTCTGTCTCTCTCCTCTTCTCTGCGTCTGAATCATTTGAGGACTGTTGTGAGAGGTTTTCCTCTGAACATCTGCAACAGCTTTTCAACCAAAGAAGTAAAACCTTTTTTTTCTGCAAGACACTGAGACCCAACTGTCACCATGGAGGCCATCAAGAAGAAGATGCAGATGCTGAAGTTGGACAAGGAGAATGCCCTCGACAGGGCAGAACAGGCCGAGTCCGACAAAAAGTCAGCAGAGGATAAATGCAAGCAGGTGAGACGTGGCTGATGAGTTTGGTTGGATGTGACCAAGTGAAAGCGCTAAAACTGCACTAAATGTAGTGTTAGCTGGGTAATAATTCACTATTATTATATATTAACTTGTGACATAGTCACAACTTAAGGACAGATGCACAGTACAGATAAGTAAGCTTGCAAAAGACTAGAATGCTATATAAATTATGAGAAACTACTATGCACAAAAAGAAGCACTCAAATAGAAAAACATATTAAAAAATGTCATAGGATATGCCACAAAACTATGACAATATCTACAAAAGGAGAGCTACTACAACACAATTATAGTCTTACAAAATTCTGTTGTCCAAATTAATTATATTTTGAAAACAACCCAATGGGATTAATATAAGATTCACGTATTAATTAAATTTGACTATGTGGCATAATATCCACAGAGAACCAAAGAGATTACTTGAAGCTACCAGAAGTGGGACTGTAGGAGTTAAAACAGCTCATCTAAAGCTGCTGTCGCTGTGGTGGACTGCATTACCCAGTGTCCATATCTGAATTTACCATAAAAGAAAATCTCACAAATTTTTCATTATCTGCACATCCATATTTGGTGCTGCGGTGCTGGAGCGTCAGACAGCTTGATATTTTGAGGGCACACTTAATGACAGTGTACTTGTACCACTTGATACAAGCAAGGTAGAATCTGTAGATGTAATAGGATATTTGAGTTTCTAAATAGAGGCAATTATTACATACTGGGTGGAGGTATCATCATTATGGTGGTACAAGAGGAGTGCTAGAGATTAGGGAGGTGGAGAGGCTTGGACACAACCAGGATCTAGGTGGAAAGAATCCTCTCTCTGGTGGCTAATGCCCTAATTACATCCTCAGAGCACATGAAGTGATAGTTGTCACTGGAACTGCACACATTGACCCCGATGACATATCTTCCATATCAAGGAACAGCCATCATGAAATCTTAGAAGATTACGTAGAGATACAAGAAAGGTTAAGAGCTGCTTTCTTTGCTATTCTTGGCACAAGGGGAGGACAGTGCAGTTAGGCTGACGGAAGGCGCTGAAAATACACAAACCGATGCTCAGTATCATACACAGAACATCAGCCGCAGAGTCCAGCGGCAATTAAAGGACTGGTTCACCAAATTACAAAAGAATTTTACAGATTCAACAGAAATGAACTGTTGCTCTAACGACGGCAGTGTCAGTCAGTCCACTACCTCAGTCCAGGCTGAAATATTTCAACAGTTATTGGCTGGACTGCGATTAGATTTAATAAAGACATTGATGTTGAATTGTAATACCTTTGGTGATCATGTGACTTCTCACCTAGTCCCTTCATTGTGCCAAAAATTCAATGTGTCAGTGTGTTTATGGCTTTAAAAATGATCTTATACTAATTAGCAAATGCTAACACTGAGATGGTGAAAATGTTCAACTTTGTACCTGCCAGCCATGAATATATTAGTATTGGAAGTATTTGCTGACATTAGCATTTTGCACAAATCACCACTGTGCCTAAAAGCAGCCTCAAATATCTGCTAACATAGTTTAAGAGTATTTTTTGATATCTGTGATGGCCTAGATGAAATTCCATTCACCTTTGTCCTGTCTAAATTACAACAGTCCAGCATTCTATAATACAAAAGATATCACGTCTTCCAATTAAATACCATTGGATTATTCCATACTGCGTTTAATTCATTCCTACAGTCACAGAGCAAAGCTTGGTTTGTTTTCCTGTATCCTGTCTGACTGTCATTATTACTGTCTTTCAGTTGGAGGATGAGCTTGTTGCTCTGCAGAAGAAAATGAAGGCAACAGAGGATGAGCTAGACAAGTACTCAGAGGCCCTGAAGGAAGCTCAGGAGAAACTGGAACTGTCGGAGAAGAAGGCTACAGATGTGAGTTTGCCACAAAGACGACATCTGAAATGCATTATCCACATTACAGTGGAACACCACAACTTCTCAGTTTCAGTCCTTTAAAGTGTCAGTATGCACTTTTCAGAAGGAATGAAGTCAGCATCACTCCATGACGGCAAAAGATCATGATAGTGGCACATTCAGGGTCTTTTTCCATCAAAATGAATAAAGAGAATCACTGAATGCAGTACTTAATAAACTCTGCTTAACATGGGAGTAGAGTGATTAAAACAGACTTTCAGAAAACATAATCATCAAAATGAAAGTTAATATTTAAGCTCTGTGCTTCAGCACATTCAATCTGAAATGAAAGCACATTTATGTAGTATCCATTATTTTAGTTCAGATTAAATGTGCTCAAGCACAGAAGAAGCCACTGAAGAAGAAAGAAATGTGTACCTGTCCAGATAGTTACAGTCTGGACTGTATGTCAGAAACAATTTACACTAAACTCCTATGTTCGTATTGCAACCCAGCACCAACTGATTACCTGTAATGAATCACCTATTAAATTAATCCTGAAATTACAAACTTGTACGTTGTAACCCAGAGAATGTTGAAAGTCAGTGAGTTACTGTTGGCTCACTGAGGTCTATGACTGAGCTGTTTCTAAAGCACAGACAAAACTTGGCCAGCCTGTAGCCAACCAGGAATCTGAGGAATGTAGCTAAAGCAAACAAAACCTCATACTGCAGTGTCTAATGAAATGAATGGTCTGGCCTTTTTCAGGGATGAGGTTTCACACATTCCTCTGTCTGGCCCTACCATACATTCCTTATCGATAACATAATAGTATAATGGTTAATGACCATTCACCTCTAGAGAAGGTCTACTTCATTTCTGAACTTTCTAGCACAGTAATATCTCATTTATCTGAAAAAGAATAGAATTTATGAAACAGGAAACAACTTTATGATGTGAAATGTTACATACTTTTGTTTTTCTGGTGGTACATGCTAGCATAGGGTAATTCTCATCCTTTATCTTCTAGTTTTTCTAATTTTTAGAACTATATATTAACAAGACCACGTTTTCTGTGCATTCATGTGATTACTGGGGCTGCAACTAATGGTTATTTTCATTCATTTGTTTTCTCAACTAATGATTTGATCAAAAAATGTTAGATAATAGTGGGAAAAAAAGTTTTTCAAAATGTCCTAAAGCCCAACATGATGTTTGTAAAGTCCAAAGTCCAAAGTCCAAAAGATGTCTGAAGCTACCTGTGAAATCAAGCAAGACAAGACCCTAAAGGTTAAAGGTCAGATGACAAATAATTTGTCTCAGATGACCTGTGCTATGCCAACAGAGCTGCTTTTTGTAGGTCTGTCCACTTATTCTTCTAATGTGTTTCACACTTCCTATGAGGGATATTGATAGATATAAATGTGGCAGAAGGACAGAAAGAAAAAATAAACCCAGCCTGTGTGAGGGAGGAGGAGGAGGAGGAGGAGGAGGCGGCAGCCGGAATGTGTCGCCACCCAATGGCTACGGGGTATGTCTGCAACCAAAACATTCCAAGCCACTGCAGGTCACTAACCCCTGTAGGAGAGGATTATTACCGCCACACCCTTGTAGAAGTAAACCTTTGGACTTTATTGGTTTAAAACTCGCTTCTTTCTCTTCCGTTTTTACTTTTCTCTTTCACACAGCCATTCAGTTAGGCAGATGATTCACACCCTTCCTATCCTGATCCCTACCAGATTAACTATTAATCAGCGCGCAAAAATCCAGCCTAAGCAATACCTTACTTTTGCCATATAAGTCCACAATAGAAACCCTGATCCTCACACGCACGACCTGACATTACACACGTCCTTTGCAAAGGAAACGAGCACGTCCTTTCCCCTCCTAAATCCCGTGATGTCATCTGAGACAGGCTTCTTCACAGGATTGGCCGATTTCACCATAAATTTCCTGAAACCCCCCCAGCCCTTCTTTCCCATCCCAGCACTGCACGTCCGTGATTTCCTGTCCGAGGAAAAGTTTTCTTCGGGGCCTGCAAATCCACTTTGCGCGTACGGAGGAAACAGCAGGTCGATCCGGACCGCCGCACTTTGGGCTCATTCTTTTGTTACTGGGAAAACAGAGAAATCGAGATCATGGAGATGGTGAAGAAGAAAATTCAAACTCTCCAGCAGCAAGTTGATGCGGCAGAGGATCGTGCACTGGCTGTACAACGGGAGCTGGACATTGAACGGGAACTGCGCGAAAATGTGAGAATATTTCTCGTTTATCCAGCTACGTGTTTGCTGATCTATTCTTTGAGCATCTCCCCTGAAGACTGTAAAGGATCTGCACAGGATAAATTTACCTGCGTATCCTAATAGTAAAGTTTGTATGTTCTGATGTTAATGCAGCTTGTTTTACGGGAGGTTGTAGCGACATTCCTTCAGCAGTGTTTTCCTAAATTCAACCCGCCCTGGACCTACGACCAATCTCTCTATATCATTAACTGTCAGCGTGGTTGATTAAATATTAGAGGATTGTAGGCTCAACCTTTGGATACTCCTCAGTAACAGTGCAAGACGCATGGGAAATGCTTTGTTTCAGTTCCTCCAAAAATCTTTGTTCTTCTTGCCCTTTGAGGTTTGCTGAATAGCACATAGATGAATCTGGGAGATGTAACCCTTCCTCCTCCTCCTAAGGCTTTACACAGGAAGAAGAGAGCAGACATGGTTATCTGT